ATTTGCCTAATGTTAAAGCATGAGTAGGAGTTGTGATTCTTGATTTGTTACAAGCGGGAGATGGTGCATTCATTTCAGTGTGAGGACAGATTTGCCTAATGTTAAAGCATGAGTAGGAGTTGTGGTTCTTGATTTGTTACAAGCGGGAGATGGTGTATTCATTTCAGTGTGAGGACAGATTTGCCTAATGTTAAAGCGTGAGTAGGAGTTGTGATTCTTGATTTGTTACAAGCGGGAGGTGGTGCATTCATTTCAGTGTGAGGACAGATTTTTGTCATATTAAATGAGTAGGAGTTGTCCATAGGTCAGACTTTCAGTCAGACCGTTATTTGACATTCTGGTACTGCTTGGATGATGTAAAACTTACTTTGATATTTTGCAAGCTCCAAAACATACTAAAATTTCTCCGTGCTCTCATCATGTGTATAATGTGCATGCATAGTTATCTAACCTATAAATAACATAGAATAAGCTATGGGTTTTTACCTTTAAAGTGCTTAATTTAAGCCTTTCTAACCTCTTTCCTCTCTTCCCCACTCTCCCCCCTCACCCCCACCCTGTACCATTGAGGGAAATATGTATTTGGAAGGAGATTTAATAGAAATGGAATGATGACTGTCTTGGAATATGTTGACATTTCCTCTCTGTGTGGTCATTGATATACATTTTTTGTGTAGGCCTATTTTCATATTTTGCATGATTTTTCCATTTTGAAATTGGGTTAGAATTTTTACATAAAACACAAAAATGTCTACTAAGTGTAAACGTATATGCAACATAGAAAGAACAAAGAGCATCCATTTAATGGCTGTACATTCAACCTTGACATCCTCCCATGACTTAATTTTTAATCACAATACACTTATGCCCTCTTGGTGTAACCAATATATCTATATTTATGAGGACCTTTCCTTTATATTTTTTCATTTGTGTATGTATTATGAAATATATACATTGGTTATTTTGATGGCTTTTATCCAGAGTGAGTGATACTTCCTCCTGGGAGGTACTGGAAAGATCCACGGTGGTTGCAACAGCAGATACCTACTGTTTTAGACAGGGTTCTCTAGAGAAAAAAGACCAGGATATTTATGATTATATTTATAGAGATATATACAACATAAGAAATAAACAGCTAATTAGTCTATAAAGCAGGACAAATGGCTCAGTGCAACTCACTTCCATGAGATAGATAATACACTAGCAGTCCTTCACGTCACGAGGACCTCTGGGTACAAGTCAAGGAAGCAGGGAGCTGAGTCCTCTAGAACAATTCAGGCAATCTGGCCACAGGCAGCTGACAGCAAGGCAGGTCACCAACAGTCAGCCAGATGACACGGTCCAGTAATCCCCAGCTCAAGCGATGTATACACCAGCAGTGTGGCAAAGCAGGT